CTGTTTTTACTGAGTTGGCTTTGCTGTTCTAAGCAATCTGATGAACTTTATCAATACACTCATAGCGTGATGACCAGTCCTGGCCCATTTGCCTAGGTCATCACGGCATTGGGAAAATGAATGAAAATGTTCAAAGGCTTCTTGAATTCAGTTCTCAGAATCATCGCTCCATCACTAATACTTTTTTCAACTTAAAAGACTGCCACAATGTCTCATGGTGCCACCCCAGATCCGGTCACTGGCATCAACTCAACTTTGTACTGGTCCGCAGAAAACATCTCAACTCCGTTACATTTACACGTGCATAAAATTCCATAAAAACTCCATATGTCAAAGGATTGCAGAATACCAAAGGTTAACACCCTCAGTACTAGAGATGCACTGAAATGCTCTGTCTTGGCAGAAGAATTCACTCGCAAAATGGAAGACAAACCTGTCCAGCAGTCTGTTGATGAGACACGGCCCATGCTGAGTGCTGCAATATATAAACATGCCACATCTGTCTTTGGAACACAGACATTTTCCAACAAAGACTGGATTGATGAAAACGTTGACATTCTCAGGCCTCTTCTTGAAGAAAAAAGGCTTTTCTGAACAACAAAGAATCCATCGCAAAGTTCAAGAGATCAGCTCCGCCATACAAGATCTGTTCTTCAGAGAGAATCCAGGCGGTGTGCAAACAAGTATGGGGCCAATCTATGTTCTGGATTTCAAAAAGCATTTGATATGGGTGACCTGAAAACCATGTATGATGGACTGAAGAAAGCACTTGGACCAAACGTTACCAAAGTTGCTCCATTGAAACATCTAAATGGATAGGTGATCACAGATAAAAACCAACAGATGTCCCCATGGGTGGAACACTACTCAAGTCTTTACTCCCATGAGTGTACAATAACATCCTTAACTTGATAACCTCATTCCAACCCTCCCAGAAATGTTAGAGCTAGATGTAGAGCCTATGGTGGAAGAGCTTTCCCAAGTACTTGATGCTCTCTCCAGTGGAAAAGCACCAGATGATGGGATTCAGCTGAAGTCCTGAAGGTTACCAAGGCTGTCCTCATCCCCTTCCTTTATGACTTACTTAGAAAATGTTGGCGAGTGGGAGGGGTCCCCCAAACATCATTACTCTCTATAAAAACAAAGGCAATAAGGGGGACTAAACTACAGAGGCATCTCTTTGCTAAGCATTACAGGTAAAGCATTTACCCATGTCATTTTTAATCGCCTGCAAAAACTCACAGATCGAGTCTATCCAGAAACAGTGCGGCTTCAGGGCTGGCAGGTCAACAATGGACATGATTTTTTTCTCTTTGACAACTACAAGAAAAGTGCAGAGAGCAAGGAAAGCTGCTGTTTATAGCATTTGTGGACTTAGCAAAGGCATTCGATACAGTCAGTAGATCAGGACCATACAAAGTGTTAACTAAGATTGGCTGTCCACCAACTCTACTCAAGCTCATAATCTCTTTTAATGAAGATATGAAAGCAACAGTGTACTATGATGGATCTACATCTGAACCCTTTGTGGTGACGGGTGAAGTCAAACAGGGATGTGTCCTTGCTCCTATCCTCTTTGGCATAATCTTCTCAGTCCTATTAAATTGTGCATTTCTAAACTCACACAGTGATGTATTTCTCCACACAAGGTTAGATGGTTCTCTTTACAACCGAACATGACTCCAGGCTAAAACTAAGGTCAAGAAAAGTTCTCATTAGAGAACTCATTCGCAGATGATGCAGCGCTTGTCGCACATAATGAATACACGCTACAGGCACCGATAGAGTCTCTGTCCAGAGTTAGTAAACTGTTCTCTCAATATAAGCATGAAGAAAACTGTTGTGTTTGCTCTAGGTGCTGTATCTCAACCACCCAAGGTCATTCTGAATGACAGTCCATTAGAGGTGGTTCAACAATCCTGTTACCTTGGGTCTACTGTCACCACAAATCTCTCCATGGACGAAGAACTGAACATCAGAATTGGGAAGGCAGCCACAACATTTGGCAGACTTATGAAACGAGCATGGAACAATCCCAAACTGACATGAAAACAAAGATACTGATATACCAAGCGTGCGTATTAAGTGTCTTGCTTTATGGATCTGAGACCTGGACTACCTACTCGTGCCAAGAGAAACAATTGAGCAGTTTCCATCTTCGCAGAATAACTAATATTAAGTGACAAGACAAAGTTTTGAATGTAGATGTCCTATCAAGAGCTGGCATACCCAGTTTCATAGTGATCCTTAACAACAGAAGACTCCGGTGGCTTGACCACGGGAGGAGAATGAGTGATAAACGCCTTCCCAGAGAAATCCTCTTTGGTGAACTAACAAGAAGAGCAAGGGCAAGAGGAAGGCCAAAGTTAAGATACAAGGATATATGTGAAAACATTATGAAAAAGTTTAACATCAGTCCAAGCTATTGGGAATCTACATCATCAGATCGCAACACCTGGTGACAATTATTACAACAGGGCATGTCATTTTTCGATAGGACCTGTGCAAGACATGGAAAAGAACTCCGCCTCAGAATGAAAAATTCTCAGACTCATGAATACGGAAGTAGACTGGCATGTAGCTATTGTAATCGACTGTGCAAATCCAATATTGGACACACAAGCCATGAAAAAAGTTGCAGATCCAGGCACAACTCAGATTGCTACTGCCGCTGCTTACCACCATCTCTCGAGACGAATGGGCCATATATATTAAATAATTTTTGATCACCAGCTTACAGATGAAAATTGCAAAACAGTGCTAACATTTTGTGCTTTATTTTAACCCTAAAAATACATGCAATATTGACTGTAGATTCTTACATATAATCACTGCTTCTACAGCTACTATACAGCAATACCGAACTAAGAAAAAATACCATTAAGTTGGAAAAATTAAAATCTGTAAGCATGAAAGAAGAGGCACCATAATGAGGAATCATAAACAAAGTTCAGACCACAATTCCTCAGAAAGGTAGAGACAAAGAGCCAGAAAAAAATGTAGTGTTTCAACACAGGTCTACTCAAAAGGATTGTTTAATATACAGACTTTTTCTTTTAAATAAAGCAAAGAAAATCACCAAACATAGTCATATAGAATCAAATGATATTTGCAGAGCAATCATGAATTTTAAAAAATAAAGAAAAAGAACAGTGAGTCAATGCTAGTCAGACTGGTTACAGGGAATAAGTAGTGTTAAAACATACCTGAAAGGGAAGAGTTATATTAGCAACTAGACTACTACTAAGCTAGAGGAAATACAATGATAAATTTAAAAAAAAGAAAAAAAAGAAAGCAGAGTTCACAGAAATAACTGATTAGAAAAACAGCTCCTGCAACAGCTGCAGGTCTCTCCCCCCCCATCACCTGATGGAGATAAAGAGTGGGGAGGAAAAGTGGACTACTACACAAAACAGTTGAGTGAGTAAATATTAACCTCAAATTGGAAGAAACTACCTGTGAATTTGATAATAAAAAGTAGTATCACATCTTTCAGATTGGCTGACCTATCATAGCAAAACTTCAGGTATGTGAATTAAATGAAAATCACATTAGATAGTATGCACAGTAACTTCAGAAAATGTTCAGTTTTGCCACCCTCCTTCTGAATAGGGGAAGCTACTAAGAGTATATCAACACCTGTTCTTTACATGCTGTATTAGATAACAATTATTTTGTGGATTAAATTCAAAGTACTTGTTATTTGACAAAACCTTAACTGGCTTTTATGGAGTTTCTCTCCTATGCACCAGTATGTCATCTGTTTTTATCAAAAATGCTTTGTTTAGTCCAAAGATTATGTGCACAGAAGGGCAGCATTCGCAACAGGCCCTAGTTTCTAAAATTAGGCCCTATTGGATGCCTGAGTCCATGTCTGCTTGCCTGTACCACCAAATATGAGATTTGTCTCTTTGCTTAAGATTTCCCAATCAAGTTCTGGAACTTCTTTGCACTGAACCTACAGCTAAGTTTTCCACCACTCCATCTTCGCCCTTAAGGTCAGCTAGATGATTATTACTAAAGAAATAAAGATGGAATATCAATTATTCTAAATGATTGCTTAAGCTTGAAGGGGACCCACATGTCATGGTCCTAGACACCTTAAATACTTTCACTGGCAAAGAACACCTGGAAGCCCATAGTGGGAAAATATACCTAATGGTAACAGACTAGAAATTTGTTATGAATTGGAAAAGTAATACGGTAGAGAAAAACAATAAAAAACAAGGGTAATTTTAATTTGCACAGAGACAGTGTCACCATTAGCAAGCAAAATATGAGCTGCCAAATGAAAGTTCAACTACATAATATGTTGAAAAGTGTGCCAATTATTAGAGGTAAAGGAAGACCAACAAAAGTTTAGGGAACTATAAAAAAATAGCTAATGAAAAACTAAATAAAACCAGCTTAACTTAGTAACACTTATTTTGGGAAACATGACAGACTACTACACACTGAAGAATAGGAAGTGGGTCTGGCCCACGAAAGCTCATCATCTAATAAACCATCTTGTTAGTCTTTAAAGTGCTACATTGTCCTGCATTTTGCTTCAACTACCCCAGACTAACACGGCTACATTTCTATCACTAATAGTGGAGATGTTTGCAACAACTTATGTTAAGAATAACTGCACCTGGAAAGACTTCCCAACAGGGAATGTACCAAGTTACAGTAGACATTCCTGGAGACATTCAAGCTAAGTTGGATAACAACAATACTGTACTATTTCTACAAACATACGCTACTGTCGTGGCGCCATCTGCCCGTCCCACGCCCGTTTCTAGGGAATGGCGTTATCCTCTCTGTAGAAAGGAACGAAGCTCAAAGCGGGCTTTAGGCACCCGCTGGAAGAGGAAGGAGTTGCTCTCCAGTGCTTTCTCTTCCCTGCAGCGGGTACACGCTGCGTGGTGCCAAACATGTGGCCAGCACCGAGAGCGTCCCAGCGGTGCTGGGACACCACAAAGAGCGCGGCGGGCCGGGGAGCGCGGCGGGGCGGGTACCTCATGCTGTAGGCGCTGGCTCCCAGCTCCTGCCCGATGCCGGAGAGGCTGGCATCGAAGTCGTGCGCCAGCCCGGACTCGATCACTTCATCCATCTTCAGCACCCACGCCATCTTCCGCCGCTCGGCG